ACCCCCCCCCCACTTTCAAAAACGTCCCGCCGCCGTTGGTTTCTCCCTTCTGTTATGCAGTAATGATACTCGTTTACTACACTTCCGGTTAAACTCCCTCATTCCTTGTTTGTATAATTTAATCGGCGCCGTTCTCTTTGCAGTGCACAGTATAAGTGCAGCCACAGAGGTGGAACATACTGCCTAACAGAGTGCTTGTGTATACCCAGTAACAAAGACACTGATTCTATATTGGTGGCGGTTAAACTCATCCTGGATGCCTAATTGTGTGCTCTATAAGCTTAAGTATCATGCATATCTTTATATATTTTAAATTTACCTCTCAAGGATAAATGGAATCACCCATACATGCCCTGTGTGTATTATCGGGTATACCCTACAGGCAAATTTAAATCACATGTATATGTATTTGTGTATATTTTATAGTTCATTTGTTGATATACCGCATTTCTGTAAGGTTTGTGATTTCTTCCTAAATTTATTTATATTTATTTATTTTAAACATACAAGCACAAAATGGATTCGCCCATAAAAGCCCTGCGTGTAATCGGCTATGTAGGCACAGGGTTGAGGCATGCACTGTAATTTATATTGTTGTAAAAACCATAATTGAAATACCTGTTTTCCAGAAAGATTTTTTTGAAAAACTGTCGGCCATCTTGAAATTCAAAATGGCCGCCATCTATGGTCTATGGCAATATTAAAATCAAATAGGTTGACATTTAAAACATGGGGTTAGCACTTGAAATTTTGTCAATATCTGCTTTAATAGTAGAGTAATAGTCATTTTTATTGTTAAAATGGCAGCCATTTTGAAATTCCAATATGGCGGCCAAGACTTTATCGAAAAAAATGGACCCTTGCATTTTTGGATTAAGCATACGCAAAATATCCAGAAAACGCAATAAAATTGCTTTGGGCAAGCCTATCTCGCGAAATGACACTAGGGACCACACTAATACCATCCTAGCTAGTCTAGGCCTAGATTAGGATATGTCTAGAGCGACGGACGTTGGTACGAGTAGGTTATTCTACAAACGTCGCCTAAAGTAATTGATTTTACCCGGCAGAACGAAAGAAGGAAACTCCGCTTTTCGGTCTTCTTAGGCTCTTGTTTCTTGACAAACAATGACATTTCAGAGGTCAAATTGCTGTCAAGGATATTAATTGGCTGCTTCGCAGCAAATAGCATCTACTTATGTAAAGGGTGTTTCGAGTGCACAATTTTGTTTGATAAACCATAATCCTCTAAAAATTCAAAATGCTTTATAAGTAGCCCTTTTTATTAGAAATAGGTGCCAATTAAGTTAATAGTTACGTACAAATATCGAGAGATGTAACATCATATTCTCCGATGTCCTTGAAGTTCAACATGTCGTATAGAAAAGAAATTAAGAAGAGCACATCAGTACACCTTCAGGAATTAAAGAATGGAACTTTAAAAACAAAATACTGTATTAAGATATATTTGATTGAAAAGATCATAACGTATATCCGAATGCCTATAATTATTTGTAGGAATGGTGTTGGTGTTTCTGTTGGTGTTTTTGTCAGGAAATGTAATAGGAACACATGGTCTAGCTAGTGGTTAAGACACCAGGCTAGTTATTTGGAGGTTGTGGGTTCCCACCCGAATAAATTGTGAAACTTTTTGCAAGTATTGGGAAACGTGCTGAGCATTTCGTACGATAACACGTCATGTATGGCAAAATATTATTTTCCTATTCCACTTGTGAGATTTTTTCGCGAGTGTTTGGGAACGTACTGAACATTCCGTACGATAACACGTCATGTAAGTGCAAACACCTTTCCTATTAAATCTTCTGACGAAAACACCATCGGAATAGCATTACACTTGGGACTGCTGCATGGGGATCAGATTTAACACTAGCCACTAAGCACAAGCTCGGTGGTTTAGTGGTTAGGACACCAGGCTAATTATCTGGAGGTCGTGGGTTCGATGCCAAGCCAAATCACTTCCGATGTTTTTCCGCAAGTATTTGGGAACGTACTGAGCATTCAGTAGACCTAACATAACACGTCAGTTAGGGCAAAGCACTATTCCTCTAATCTCCTGACAACAAAAACACCATCGCAATATAATTATTTGCTTACTTAATTAACTAAAACAGTACCTTTCATTTTGAATTGCCTGCACAATCTGTTTTATGTTGTACATAGTGGGTGCAAACACTGACGTCATAGAAGCCACCAATGGAGGCAACACACCACTTCCTTCTCCACTAATATGAGATGTATTAAGCCCAAGAATTCTTCGATTCTGACAGAAAGCAATTTCCAAAACTTTTAGGCCTACTAGTACAGAAAAAGTTATGAACACATACAATAAATATTTCATTCTTGTCATTCTTCGATATTCCTTTCCCTCTAATTTCACATTGCTATGATAGCCAATTTGTAGTTTTAACCGCGCATGCTCGTGTCAAAGTCAATCGACATAAACAAACATTACACAGAACATAGGGTTATGTCGATCGACCTTGGATACAACGGGATACGCACATGCGCAGTTTAAACCACGAATTGGCTTATTGCGTCTTAAAAACTAATTTGTAATTCTCTTAGTTATTCAGGTAGGTGTGGCACCTTAACATTATGTTTCCTTCTTTAGGTTGAGAGTACTTGGAAGATGTGCCATTATCATAAATGCTCTTCCATTAGCCACAACCATGGTGTGGTTGAGGTGGTTTACACCCTCCATCTGTGGAAGTCCCTCCCTGGCCCCTCTATTTCGAATTCATGGACCCACCATTGCAATTTCATTTTATTCGATATCAAAATCGCAGTCGAGGATTGTAATAAATGATATTTACAAAAATACAAAAACATCAAATGATTAATTATTAATTAACAACACACATACCGTACTGCACAGACATTCAGAAAAAATTAAAAACATAAACAATTGTTGTAAATTGTTTAATTTTAGGTGCCACCAATTTTCTTGATTAGTTTAGAACAGTTGCTGAGACCACATAGGCACCTCTTGAAATAGTTACGAATGTTTCGATTATCATTAGTATAACGAAGCACTTCTTACTATGAATTTTCTGAAAACGTGAATCCCTACATTATTTAAGTTCAAATTCGGCTTCTGAAAATTTTAACCTTTGGAGCTTTCGGGGATTCCACATCTCCCAGAGGAAATAGACGGCTCCCAGCAAACCCACACCCCACTCGCACGAGGACGGTTGGACGTAGAACGTAATGACATCAGTAAAAGTCATCTGCGCATGCAAGAACGTTAAGGTCACCTCGTCGAGTAGATTTGGAAGAACGCAATTAGGCCAAATCTACGTATGTAGAGAACGTATGACGCCAGGTAGGACGGCCACGCATGAGTGATTCTATTCTAACGTCTCACAAATCGAAAGCTCCCTATTAATTATGGGCATACAACAGTTTTCTGTCAAAGAAAATTTGATAATCTAGACCATATCTGGACAGAGCTTTAAATTACTCAATCTACAGACAAGTGATCCCCCCATTTTTCTCACTTACCTCTTTATTTGGCATTCCTTCAAGGTAGTAAAACATACCCTTTGCTCCATTAATCACACTGAAATGTGTGTGAACCACGTACTTCGGTTTACCAGTAGATCCCTAAAGAAATGATTTCAGGATCTACTCTATCAAATTGTATGTGAAAAATGTGCGTGAATTGCCCATATATGGGCTTGGTGAAGCATACCACATCCATATGCGCCTGAATACCAATGATACGCAGTGTATGATGGGTGAAACTGCAGTATATCCTCAAGAAAATAATTGAATCGCCCGTTGTATTCAGGCACATTGTTTTTGATTGAGTGCTGTAGCATACCCTAAAAAATAATGGAACCACCCGTCGTATTCGGGCACATGCTTTTTTGAGAGCTGCCTAAATACGAGAGGCGATTCCATTCTTTTCTTTTATGCTCGAGGGTTAAACATCGAGTTTTTGTGACCTTAACTGTGTCTGTTGACCTTTCTTTTCAAAATAAATGGTGTCTTTCTTCAATTATTATGTACCATTCCACTAAATGTTAAGATGATCGATTCATTAGTTTTTGCGTAACCTTGCTAACAGACAGATACATAGACAAACATCAGCGTATACATGACCTCCGTGGCGGAAGCCAAACGCTGACGTCATTTTGTGTGATCAATATTAGGACGTTATGTACGATACACAGTATTTATGTATTCATTAAAAGTATATATCTTACTGAAGTAATGAAAATATCGCTGTCATCATCAAAAATAACTTCGTCCTTTTTGAGCTTGAAGAGTTCAACAACTTTAGGATCTGACCCAAGCTTCTCAATACCATTGATATCATATGCTCCACTATAAAGAAATAGTTACGCCGTCATTTAAAAAGAAAGAAATGGAAATAAAAGGCCTGACCGACAACCTTGGGGTTCTTTCCTTGTAAACTGCTTAAAACTTATCCTTAGAAAAATGCTTTTCAAATTTACTCTGCAAAATCCAGAAATTGCCATACTAACCAAAACCTGTAACTAAACATCAAACTGATGAAAGATAAAAACAAAACTAGGTCTAGTATGGCCGGGGAGAGTAAATAGGGGCGGATCTAGGGGAGCATGGGGGCTAGGGCTTTCCCAAATATTAAGCAAAAAGAAAATAAAAAAATAATGATATAATGATAAGGAATATTTGGAGTAGAGTTGAATAGCTTGGTGGTTAAGATGCTTACTTTCTAATCCCAGAGTCTTGGTTCAATTCTTGTACGTCGCGGTAACATGATTTTTTCTCACGACCAAAATCACTCCACTCCCTAGCCTCATAATGAGAAAGTGTATGTATGTGTTCTGGTTTTGTGACGTAATTGTTCCATAATTGTGAGGAGGCAACTGAAAATAAACAGCTGCCATATGCCTGTGTGCGAAATTTCTGTACTACAAAGAGGTTCTTCGATGCAGACTTTAGAGTGCGTTTTGGGTGGTATGCCGGTATCAGATTCATTAACTACTGCGGTGTATTATGAAGTCTGCTCTTAATTATCACTAAAAGTATACCAAAAACTATTTGTTTGGACGTTTACAACCAATGAAGTTTACTAAGGACAGGTGTGATAATACTCATGCCTCTTTGTTTTAGTGATGATTCTTGCTGCAAAATTTTGTATTCTTTGCAGTTTAAAAATTTCGGAGAGCCAAACAGTAACAGTAAACCATTGCAGTAATCCAGTCTTGAAGTAACAAATGCGATGTGGAGAGATATGTGAGTATGCGTGTGTAGTTTAAGTAGGCCTATGCCCTATGTACGTTTCTGCATTGAAAATAATAATGTCAATAGCTTACTTCGTTACACCTTTAGCACTTATTGTCCTGATATCTTCTAATCTATCAAACAGGTTATTGGGGGTCCTTCCTAATACAATCACTTTACAACCCGTCTGCAAATAATTGTTTATACAAATATGATTGATCAGGCGATTATGAGAACTACTAATAATCATAAAGCTTAGCTTTATGTGTATCATAAAAATTATATGTGGTATAAATGTGATTGATTGATGGAATGATTGAAAGACTGACTGACTGGTTGATTATAATAGGCTTACCATATTATATACAATAATACAAATAAAATACAAATTCTTGAAAATTTCAATGTAAATTGTAAATACATTTAACAAATATAATGAATTAATTAAAATAACAATGCTAAAAAATAATGTAAGCCTAATTTCATGTTGTAGTTAATAATATATATTATGTCTAATCAGCATCATCATCATCATCATCATCATCATCATCATCATCATCATCATCATCATCATCATCATCATCATCATCATCATCATCATTAAATATTATTAGTAACAATAGCAGTTATTAGCAACGACATTTGTATAGAAATATGACATTAAATATGAAAGAGATTAAGGCCCAAGTTATCGTCTTTCCGGGATTGATGAATGGATGTGAATGAATGTGATACATTTTATGCATTGATTCTTTCAATTACACGACCATTGGCAGATCTGAAGGGGGTCAGGGGGTTCTGATACCCTTGAAAAAAAAAATTCTTTGTGTACTGGTACACACATACTGTAGGCCTATTTACTGTAATAAGAATGAGAAAAAGTTACCAGACCGTTTACAAAAGGGGAAAACCTTGAATTCTGATTAAAAGACACTTCAGAAGTCGGCAAAACTAATTTCTCGCCATCTAAGAATCAAGATTTTCCCGAGGGAGGACCCCCCGTATCCCCTTATGAAGAAAAGTCTGACCCACCCCCACCTAAATATGAACCTAGATGCGCCCCCATGCCAGGAGAGGGAAAAAACAAAAATCGTCTATAGTCATGCACTCCCACAGTCAACAACACCGTGTAGATTGGGACAAAGCCGAACTAATAGCCACTGTACCATCGTGGCACTCCAGAAGGACCAGAGAAGCCATAGAAATCCACAAACACAATACTGTACATCAAGATATCGGATTTGTCATTAGCGATATTTGGCTGTCTATGTTTAATCGGACCTAGCAAAGCAGCCCCACCATTTCCCGCCTTATAATAATAATAAACATTTATATAGCGCCAATTCAAAAATTTATCAAAGGCGCAGGAGAAAACAAACTCAGCAACATTTCTGAAAAAGGTGAAATTTTAAGTTCTTCTTAAAAGAATATAAATTAGGCGAATTACGAACAGAAAAAGGAATCGAATTCCACAGAGAAGGAGTTTGAACAGAAAATGCACGTTCATCATATGTTTTGGTTTTGTTTCGAGGAGATGGAACTGTCAAAAGATTTTTGATTTTTTTTTGAACAGAAAAAGCACGTTGACCATATGTTTTGGTTTTTGTTTCGAGGAGATTGAACTGTCAAAAGATTATTGATTTTTTTTTTAATTTTTGATTTTTTTTTTATGGAACTATGCCTTTAGTTTATGGTCGTTCTTATCCCCACCTCCTTTCCCGCCCCTGGAACCATACCTTTGTTTGGGCGTTCCCACCCTTTGTCTCCGTGGACAATGGCTTTTGTTTTAGCCTTTCACTAGCAGTCTTCTCATTTTTCAGTTTATCTATCCAATCACCATCCAGCCTCTCTACCCAAACATAAGAAACGTCGAGACTTTCTCAACTACAACAGTTCTTTTCAGAACTACCTACGTGGTGTACCGCAAGCTTCAACATATATGTTATAATTTTGCCATGCAAACCTTCACACAATACTAAAGAAGAATGAGAAAGTTTACCTGACCGTTTTCAAGAGGGAGAAAACCTTGAATTTTGAAAAACTTAAAAGTCATTAAAAGACACCTCAGAAGTCGGAAAAGGTCATTTCCTGCCATCTATTGATCAAAATTTTCCCGGGGATGACCCCTTGACCCCCCTTCCTCTTTGGGGGTTATCCATTCATAGCGAAAAAGAATACGTAAGCAACTCAATTTTTTGTTATGAACGTATACACACATAAATAGGTGTATTTACTGTAATATGAATGAGAAGGTTTAACTGACCGTTTTCAAGAGGGGGAAATCCTTGAATTTTAAAGACACCAGACTTCTGAGATGTCATTAAAAGACACCTCAGAAGTCCGGGAAGCTCATTTCCCGCCATCTAAGAATCAAACTTTTCCCTGGGAAGGAATCCCGGACCACCCCCCTTTTTTTGGCGTTTTTATGAAAAAAACTCTGACCACCCCTCCCCCTCCCAAATGTGAACCTAGATCCGCCACTGACGATGAAGTAAAATCTGGAACATGACGTCACACGTGACGGGGACGCTGGACTATTGTTTTGAGTGGCCCAAATCCACGGAGCGCCATTTAGGACAGTTTTGCCGGCAAAATACCATTTTGTTGAGACAGAATGCTATTTTAGCATTTTATTGGAACAAAATTCTGTTTTGTCGACAAAATGTATTTTGTACTCCACTGTATAAAATAATGATTTTGTGGACAAAATGCTATTTTGTACTGTAGGACAACATTTATTTTGTCACCACAAAATGCTATTTTGACAAATAGTATTTTTGTAAGGCAGAATAAAAGTTGTCACCAAAAATGCTATTTGTTGATAAAATAGCTTTTTCTGAGGCAAAATTAATCTGTAGCCACAAAGTGCGATTTTGTCAACAAACGGATTTTTGTAAAAGACAGAATTCACTTTGTCACCAAAAAAAAATATATATATATATATATTCTGTGTACAGAAGCACCTTTTGTGTGAGGCAGAACGAGGTTATATGCATAATAGATAGTGTGCAGCGGCGGTGTATGCCTAGACTGCCTGACGGATTGCGCTGAGACATTCCTTTGTCTTGGTGATTAAAATAAACGATTCCATTTAATCATTTATGTTAGTCATAACCATAATATAGCATATAGTTATAGTCAAAAGAATAGAGTCCAATTTGTAAACTATTTAGTTGGTTCATTACTGCATGATCGTGTATTGTTATCCCTTGGATGGCCTCACACTAAACAAGGTACGACTTCAATCTCAAAATCACACCTTAAAATCAAATTTTCAAAAAATGTACAGCGATAATAAATAACATGTCAAAAATGTAGTACACACTAACTTTTTCATTTTTTAAATAAATTATATTCTCAAATAAATTACTTTTTGCAAATGAAGTCTGACTTTGATTTTCAGAAATTTACAGTACAGCCTCGCTATTGGACATACAGATGGCGTCACCACCATTAAGTAACAAAGTGAAATAGGTGGATTGTAGTACAAAGCTTTATCAGCGCGTCATTAAAAATAAGAAGAGGCGTTCCGTCTCTCACATAAGGTGCTTCTGTCGACAAAATGAATTCTGTTTTCTACAAAAGTAATTTTGTCTACAGAATAAAATTTTGTGGTGACAAAATAAATACCTAACTTTACCCTTTAAAAAATGATATTTTGTCGACAAAATAGCAAATGCCCCAATCAGCGCCCAGTACAAATCATTAAGTTGTGCATGGAACACGTAGAAGGATAGTCACAGAGGATAACGTTGTCACGCAAACCGAAAACTCCCTCATATGGAAAATGACTATTTTCTGATTAAATGCTGATCGTGCATTATTCATTGTCTGTCTACCGATATGAAGGAAATGGAAATAAAATATCCTCACTTGAAGCAAAATATCTTTCACGCTGGTATTTGGGAAAGCCGGCAAAATGCGTACCTGTAAACAATAATGTAAATAATGTCAATAAACAAACTAAGCATACTATCTATTTAAATTTTGTATACATTATAGGCCTATCCCTAGACAAATCGTTGCATAAATACTGTAATAACGCCAAAGGATCTTGCTGCAGCAACAAACAGTAGGGTTTCCATATGGATGTTGCCCCACAATGCCAGTCGGTCGCCTTTCTTTATCCCAATGGATAACAGCCCAGCAGCTAGTTTTTCAACCTGGAAGAATCATTTTAAAAACGCCATATTATTATATATTTCTGGTGATTTACTCATAATTGAAGTGTTAGCAGGGGAAGACCGAGACCCAGGTTTTAATGAAGGGGTGAATTGACCTTTTGAAGATTTGGGAGTGGGGCCTGAAGTTGGCCTGAGGTGAGAAATAGCCCGGAAATATCACTTTCAGACTTGTTTGCAATCTATTTTCTTAAAGTACAAAAATTCACGTCACTGCCAAATTTTTTATTATACTCTAGTACGTTTCTATAACCGTTATTATTATTATTATTATTATTATTATTATTATTATTATTATTATTATTATTATTATTATTATTATTATTAAATGCTGCATGCTACGGGGGTCCAAATTTTGCCAAAAGCAATCATGCCGCTCAAATTGGCACTCTGATCTTTTTACATACCCGATCTTTAAAAACTTTGAATGTGATTCTCTCGCCATCTTCGGGAAAGACATATATTTCACGATCTGGATGTTCATTAACCCTCTTCTCAAGCAGCTGATGCAACGTAAGTCCAATGAGAGGAGAACTTTGATTCGAACTGACATAGCTGATATTCAACGGCACCTCCATTTTTACACGACGACTAACATACGCACTTGACCAAGTTTGACTGATAGGCATATGCTGTTCACAATATATATTACATGTATCACTATTTAAACATAGTTGTGCCCGTGCTTAACCTCTGATCCAACCTGTGCGATAGTCAGGATGAACTCAGAACTGTAATCTTGGTAATCTACCCGAACAGTCTACTACGAACGGTCCATTAGTTCGTAGTAGACTGGCCGCGTAGTCAAAACGAAAAAAGCCTAATGTCCAACATAAGGGGGTGTGGGAAGAGGGGATTGTGGGAAGATGGGGTGTTGGAAGAAGGGGTGTTTGTATAGTCCTGTGTTGTAGGCCTACTCAGTATCTTCATTGAAATGAAGAAAAAATATCCACCTGTCGTCTACATCAGGCCTAACTAAGCAGCCAAGTCTGAGAGGCTAGCCTGCGCTGATTCGATTGTATGTTCTACAGATTCGTTTCGGACCTTCGAGCTGTATTTATTTTTTCTTTTGGGGGAGGGGGTGGAGGCGGTTGAAATACCACTGGCCATTTTTTTAATTCACTTGCATTTATTCTGTGCCCTGTAATAAAGTTGAGAGAGATGAATTCAGTTGAGAAAGATGAAAATACCACTAGTGTGAACATAAATTTATAAAAAATATTGATATGATCATGGAGGAAATACACAGTATTAATATATTTCCTTCATGATATGATGAATGAAGAAAATCGGAAAATAGAATCATGATGCCATTTATCACTCTGATCTGAAAACTATAGTGTAGTTATCTCAGCTTATGTGAATTGTGAAATATGTTTACATGTGACATTAGTGATGCACTTGGTTGCAGCCTGTAATGATAGTTTGCATCTCATGTAAGGCATGTGCTAAAAAATATCAGGTAAAAATAAGTTTGACAAACCAATCTTTTTAATTTCGATACGGTTTTATTCACTGTACATGCAGAAAACCGTGGGAATAATAGTTGGTTGAAAGACACTCCTGTTATATGAGACCAAGTCCATTTTAAATATACCAAAATATACTAATCAAAGATAATAGTTAAACTATATCTTTGATTTGATTATTTTAGTTTGTTTATAAGATATATTGTCTGCCGAAAAACAAATTTAAAAAAAAAAAACTTCAGAAATTCAATAAAATTTTAAGTCATCATTAACTTGATGATTTTTGATAAGCACTTATGAACTGTAACAAAAAGACAGTTCTTTGTCAACAGCAATTGTGTCTGTGGGAAAAAACTTTTCCTTTAAAACTGAATGAGTGTGATGTCCTTGTTCTCTCCATTTCTTCAAAATGATGCTACCAAGTACAATACTTTCAAATATATAACAATCCATTCGCAAATGCTGATATGTCAAACACGACCAATTATTATAATTATAATAACAATTAGACAATTGTGACGTTTGATGTGACCAAAGTATTTTAATTTGAATTTTGAAATTACGTGTATCAGCCAGTTTTATTCAATGCCCAATTGTTCTCTTATTGATTGATTTCTGTGTTCCCGCCACGGAACGGCCATTACTCTTCGGTAACATTTCATCTCAAAAACATTTATGGCAGCCTTCACCTTTTCACTTAGAATCCAGGACTCACATCCATATATAGCTGTAAGGAATATGCATGCTCTTCAGATTGCAACTTCTGTATTTAGGTTCTGGCATTTCCATAAATACTTCATCTTTTTGATTTTGTTCATCCCAATTGACATGTCGACAAGGACGCGAAGCCCCGCCCACAAAGTCACGAAAACCTTACAAAACGGCGGCTAGACTTACTGAGTTGGCGAAGATTTTCTTTGCTATCAACCTTCTTTAAGAAAGAGAATTCAGGGTAGGCGGTATGCAAATGAATCATATATTCACAGTGTTAATCTATTTCTTTGAACATAGCGGGGAAATTGTTGTAAAAGCCTCTGTATTTCGCTCCCAAAGGAAGAGGGAAAAAGCCGCATTCAGTCAAACTTGTTTTCGGCAAAGGCCAAGTCACTGATGGGCACTGCTCGTGTAAATTTGGGTATCTATAACCAAGTATAGACTTCTATGCCTAGGCTCACGTATGTTTCGCGTTTAAACCAGCTATCTAAGGAAATTAAATGTCCGAGAAAAAAATTTTTTGATCACGTGACTAAATGACGCTCGCTGATTAGTCGGTTTATCTGTCAATCAAATCTCGTCGAGATGTTAATTGCTATCCTTCTTTTAATTTCACCAATCTGGCTAGCGTCTTCGTGGATGTTGGTCCCTAAATATTCATATTTGGTTACTATTTCAAGAGGTTCACCATCCATCAGTATTATCGGATTACCTTCTGATTTACCTGTTTTAATAACTTTTTTCTTCTTCCCATTCATGTTAAGGTTTTTTTTTCTTTTACTCTCTTCTTTAACAGCATAGACAATATTCTTTAACCCTTTTACACTCCGTGAAAGCAATACGGTATCGTCTGCATACCTCATCTCATTAATTTTCTCACCTTGTATTATTATCTCCTTGAACTGCCCATTGTTACAGATCCTGATTTAATTCTCTGTATTTTTTGAGCAGGGTGTTAAGCTTGAAAATGTGGTCTCTGGTACCTTTCCCTCTAGAAACACAACTTGTCTTTCAATGACTTCGGCCTTAACATTTTATTCAAGCCTCTTTAGTAATATCTTTAGTAGTATCTTGCTTGCATGATTTATTAGGGCGATGGTTCTGTAATTAGAGCTCTTTCTGACCCCCTTTTTTGGTAGTGGTATTAGTATTGATTTCTTTCAGTCGGGCGGCCACAGGTCAAGATTTTCTTATGAAGATGATGGTATACCTCAATATATTCTTCACCACTAGCTTGTATCATTTCTGAGTATATATTATCATATCCTGGGGATTTCCCTTTTCTTAATTGCTTTATTGCCCATTCGACTTCTGATTTAAGTGGTTCCAAGCCCTCCTCATCATCATTCAAGGCATTACTATTAAAATTCTTTTCTTCTTGTAGTTCTTTTTCTTCTTCTTGACTCATGTAAACTTCCTCGCAGTATGCTTTCCATCTATTCTATATTTTTTCTCTTTCTGTAGTACTTCACCTTGTTTATTTTTATAGCACCTTGTTGTGGTTAATTTCGTTGAACATCTCTTTTAAATTATTTGCTGCTTGTAATTCTTCGATTTTTCTGCATTTCAATGTAATATAATTGCGTTTATCTTCTTTACATAACACTCTTACTTCTTAGCACAATGCATTGTACCTGACTTTTCCAGTTACGTCAGTTTTATTTTTCCACTTTCGTTCCTCGTCCATTCTATCTAATGTCTTTTCTGTTGTTATCCATGCCTTCTCTGCTGCCCTTTTCTTTGGTAAGTTTTTCTTTGCTGCTTTCATAAAAATGACTTTGGTGTTTTCGGCAATCACCTCCGGGACTTTTTCTTCAATGTCTTGCAAGAGGGCTAAAAATCTGTTTCGTAATTCTATTTTTAATTTTTTGTTTATGTTAGTAACATCAAATCTAAGGAGTATCTGAGCTTTCTTTGTTGACTTAAGTTTCATCTTTACATCTGCAATTAGTAGTTCCTGGTCTAATCCACAGTCTGCTCCAGGCAGTGTTTTCGTGTTGGTGACTGAAGTCCTCCATTTCAGCTGAACCAATATATAATCTATTTGGTTCTTTGTTCTTCCATTTGGTGCTGTCCAAGTGTAAAGTCTTGACCATTTTCCGACTCATTTTTGCTATGCGAATGCTCTATCTTGTATTTCTAGTATCTTTGGTTGTACGTAACTGAATTTTCTAAAGCTCTGTCCCCACTATCAGATTTTATACGACGAATAAATGTGATGTGCCTAAATATATGGGCTTTATTGCACCTGAATATGGGTGTGTCACCTTTATTTGTCACATAAAATGTGATAGTTAAAGACACTGAAGGGGATGTTTCATGATGAAAACTCTGGGCAGCTTCAGTTTCTCTTGGTCCTGATGCCAATGACCACAGCCAATGGGATAGCAATACGCAGCATATTTACGCCTATAGCACATGAATGAAATGTTTGTGGGAAGGATCTGTAGGCCCTAACCGTAACGAGGCATGAGTGAACCACGTATAATGAGACGTTTAACTTATTCAATACAATCTTTTATTTCAGACAAATTGACAGATGTCCATGTTAAACATACAATAAAAAATAGAGTAAAGGGGGAAAAACAATGGAAAAAAAAAAATAAATAAATAAAAAAAATAAGAAATAAAAAAAATAAATGCCATCACAGAAAAACACAAAATACAGCAAAAACTCACATTTGAACTAACGAATATGTGTCAGCCATGCGTTTTTTAAAGCCACAGACTTTCTCAAATATTCATAAAAAGGAGGAATGCCCATTGACACCAATTGTTATAATTTAAAATCGTTAAACACACACTTAATCCAACTTAATTCTAATGCAAATAAAATGCAAATATTGTTCATTTATACAAAAAAATAGAAATTGCATAAAATGTGACCATAATAAACCCACAGGACACCAAATTGGTCTTGTTAAATTAGTGGGACCAGAATTGGAAAATTTTATTATTTATTATTAACGAAAATAATCATTTAAAATTATTGAAAATGTATACAAATTTACGCTAGAAAAACACTTCATAATCTAACTTTAAAAAAATTATTCAAAGTTCTATACATGAACATCATGCACAATTGAATACAGTATAATAAATACTCCAAGTATCTAAATATACGCCATCGTGTCTGGATTCAATATTTCGACATTATGTCATCATCAGGAATCATGCACCAATATTGTAATATGGATTTTATAACGTATTGTAACGGAACGGTTCCTTTGTCAGGATGCCGGTTTCAGCCGGAGCTGTGGGTCCTGGACTTTAAAAAAAATGAATAACGAAATAACAAACTCAAGATTCTCACTCTCAGCGCGTCAAACTCTATTCAGTATGTATCCTCGAATAATTAGATAAATTTTAACAGTGATCGCTCACACTTCATTATTACTCCGATACTGAAACCACAAATAAGACAGAGGCAAACACATAGAATCATAAACAAGAAACTAGGTACCCTTATCTTACGGATCAGCCCGCTTTACTCCTGGAAGTCAATGCAACCGTCCCAGACAAATTCTCAAGCATCAATCCTACTCTCTCCTAGAATCCTAGCCTGGGACCTGGCGCTAATGTTGCGTTACCCACTATTTATTGCGCTTAGTGCGCGCCATACCTAATATAATTGGCGTCTAATACTCGACTCCTTTTTTTCATTTTTGGGGGGGGTTTATGGCCCTCTTTTAAGTTGGACCCAGGGTTCCCCATACACCAAAAAAAAACAAAACAGGGGTTTCAGCTAGGACTTTAGATTAATATTAACATGACACGTGGCATAGATGGCGCGGTCGGTTAACAATGTTTTCTGAGGAAGCAAAGTACAAATGAACATTCTACATAATAAACATAATAAACTTAATTCTTTTTGCCATTGCCCACTAGTTTTACTAAGGCCTATTCTAAATATTTTAGGCCCGTTTTATTAGGAAGTACTAGTTTTTAACCTAACTAGTCGCCGCGAGTGACTCAGTTTGGTGGTTCCGCAAAAATGTGAACATTGTGATTGGTTAAAATTGTTTGTTTCGGTCCGCCCATTTATTCAAATATGGAATATTAAGATTACCACATTCTTTTAACATCCTGGTACCTACATTCGGTGTTTTACAATTCCCGTCTCCGTCTCTAAATTAACTTTCACGTTGATGGGGTGCTGTCCAGAATAAAAAACAAAAAATAATAAGGGACTTGTGGCAAGTCTACTTGAATCCCAAACTGTACACAACTTAAGTAGTTAATTTGCACATATTGCCCAAAACAAAAGGGCATTGGAGGGTCAATATAATTGGTTAGATTAAAGTTTGGGCTGATCCACTTCCTATGTGGGTTCCATTCCCAATTACCTTGGTGGCCCCGGGGAAAATCCCAAATTTCGTTACAGTATTTATAATGTAATATCTAAGCTTTATATGTAATTTTATAATTTTTATATCTTAAAAAATAACGTTGCGAAGGTTTTTCCAACGTTGTGTTGACATCAATATCGGCGAATGTTATTATAACTTCATAGACCGCAGCTCCCTGGAGTCGGTGTTCTGACAATATTGTTACTCTGTTAATTGTACCTTACTTTGAATTCGGTCTATGGTCTGTTTTGTGAGACTCATACGGTCAATCTGAAAAATCAATAAGCCTAGTATTAGCATGCTTATTCCACCCCAAGTTGTCTAAATTCATGGTTCCACTAGCATCTGAACCATTTCTTAAAAGCCCAGCTCTGGAGGAAAAGACACAAAAAGGTACGTGTTTAACGAAAAACTTATGGTATATGAGATACAAATTTTTGAATACTGTATTTAAAAACTGGTGAAAAAAGGGGTGTATCACCCTTTCCAGAATCTGGGTTTTAAAATCTCAATAGATTTATAGAACAAGCAATTTGCGGCTCTGACTTCAAAACCGAGTCAGCATTTAAATCACAATATTGCACCACATTATTATATTCAAAGAGGTTACACCATCCCATAATTATGTATGTTTCTTTGCTCAAAAAATGTACTCAAAATAGGCCTAGAATACTTTCACATTTTCAATTAAGTCAATTTTTTAAATTTTTGACGTATGTACAGGATTGTAATAATAATAATAATAGAAATTATAATAATAATAATTATTATAATAATGATAATAATAACAATAATAATAATAATAATAATAATAATAATAATTATTATTATTATTATTATTATTATTTTTATATGTATTTTTTAATTGTAAACAATATTTTATATTTTCAATTAAGTAAATTTTTAAAATTTTTGACGTATGTACAGGATTGTAATAATAATAATAGAATTTATAATCATAATAATAATAATTTATTATTATTATTATTATTAATGATAATAATAATAATAATAATTATTATTATTATTATTATTTCTATATTTATTTTTTAATTGTAAACAATTTATTGCTCAGAGATAGGTTTATATTTTTACCGTGACGATAGTGCAGGCAGTAAGTTAATTTTCTTCAGTTTTTAATTTTGTTTTATTGCTACATTTCAACGGTATTCAATGTATTGTATTGTATTTGTTGGTAGGGGCTTGGTTAAGCACACTTGATGACAGATTTTTGTTTAATTTGCTTTTCCTCCACCCCCGTTTCTTTGTCGACAGATTGAAAATAAATTAATATAAATAAAATGTAATTATAATATTAGGAGAAATATTAAAAAGGTCATACCTTTCCAGTAATCGATTTCGGGAAACTGTCAAAAATCAACACATAGCCAGGTATACTTTCTTCGAGTCTCACCTAATAAAAGAAATTAATTTTTCAGAAGCAAAAAAAAAAAAAACTAAAAAAAAAAAAAAAAAATGCTGAATAAAAAAAAACAAAACAAATAATAATAATAATAATAATAATAATAATAATAATAAATAAATAAATAATTATATATAAAGAAAAATATAAATCCTACAATAATCATAAAACTATTATAATATAATATGCGGGCATTTTTGTTCTTAATGACGTTTTCAAATAAACGTTTAAAACTATTTGTACGATAAGACAATTATGAGTAAGGTCACACAAAATAACGTCGTTATTGAGTTTACGCACCTTTCCAGTTAGGTAAGAGACAATCTGGTTTTTGTTAATGATGGCGTTCTTCTTTGTCCTATTTTCATGAATAAAATAAATACTTGTAACTATAATGCAGCTACGATTATAACAAATAACTTTTATATAGTTATAATAATGAAGTACGGTAGTATCTAATGCACAGTGATTCCACTGTATTAAAATTATATAATGAGTATAATAGTCTTACATACCTTAAGCAAATACAAATTTCTTCAGATAGGCGCTCATCCGGTACCCCAATTACCTGGCAAATATTAAGCAATAGATAACCAACATTAAATCACTCAACATAGGAATCCACGAGAACATAAATGACACAATGCACCGTTCCGCTAACCTCCACCCCTTGGATATTGTTGCTATGGTCCTACGACAGT